TGTAACTGTGTAAAAGATTTCCAGAATAAAATGTATCACTAATTACTGAATCCTTGAGAGGTCATAAAGTCAAAACAGTTGTTCTGGAATGTATAGTCGCTAATGCAACTGTCAGTCTTATCATCTATGTCAGGGAGTGAGCAGGAAATCTATGAATATGTGTTTGGAATACTTAGAGCCAGTTGTAATTGAAGTGTTTACACATACTGGTGTATTCTCCCTGTATGCTTAGTTTACTCATTTACTAAGGAGAATTCTGCCTGCATGGTGATAAAGTAGCTTACAAGCTGTGAATTATAAATTTGTGTTGTAATTGTTCATATGGAAGGCAGGAGAATAATTGGAAACATAATACTCTTAAAATGTGAACATGAGTACTCTGTAGAATAGGAAAAGGTGTTTTTAAAAAAATTTGTAAGAAAGCAACCATAAAGAGGCATTTTTAATTATTCCTTGTGAAAATGAATCTTCATTCTACCCAAGGAATTGTTAACTGAGGGAATTTTAATATTAAAACTACCTCCAGATTATGGCATTGGCAAAGAAGTTACTCTTTGTCTTGTTCCTAAAATCAAAATGACAATAATTGATTTAATTGATAAAATTTTATGTATCATTATGTTGTAAGTCAATTTAAATCTATAATTATCATTTATAGCATTTTTTTTTAAAATTCTGTATTTAAGTTATTTTTAGAAAGAAGAATGGTGTATTACTAAGTGAACATTTAAAGATTTCCACAAATAAAAGTTTTGATAAGAGTTTTTTCTTGACTATAACTGAAAACACTCCATTTCAAGAAGAACGGATACTAGTGAGGAGTCCTAATAATGATTTTTACGAGTCATCCTTGAGTTTGACTTTGTAAATTTACTTTTTTAATAAAAGGAAATAGCATTAAAAGGCTAAAATATTCAATAGAATCATATTAGAACGTGTCAGTTTTTGCTGACCAGAGTGAAAAATTAACAAAAGCAAACTTCATAGTTGTCATTCACAGGACAAGAATATTGTTTGATAATTAAGGTGCCAAGGAAAATGGAATTACATAATAAGTCTTAACAGTCCAAATAAAAGCCTCATAATTGATGGGTTCACCTTCTATAAAAATTTTAAGGACATTGTAATACAATAAAGGGTGAATGCAGGACAGGGATTGATTTTAGAAAATTGTGTCAATAGAATTTAAGGACATTGATTGTAGATAAAGGATGTTTAAATGATGTAAAAGTTATTGGTGGTTTAATGAATCATATTGAATCCTTAGTGCACTGGGAACACTTAGGTTCAGTTGCACTGGTTTTAATGAGGGTACATGTAGTCGTCTAGGAAGCAATTTAAGTGATATTTTATGAAAAATTATATTTTACTGGTATCATGAGTTGCAGGAATTTGTTATTCACCGGCCTTTTGTATGAGGAGAGCAATGCTAATGGGAAGGAATGCAATCGTGGGAAGCTTGACCCACATTTGACAGGTACATTTAGCTTGTAATTTCTTTCTCCTTTTGAATAGATCTGCTCTCTCCATTGAACTCTTTGCTAATCAGCCAAGTAAAACATATCTTCTCGGCCTGAGATGCAAGAGACTAATTTTAGAACAATATTAACTGTAGGGGTACTAGCTGTATTTTCATGTTATGTAAATGCATTGGAACAGTGATCTGGAAGTAGATATTGGACATTTGAAATTAAGTCGGATTAAAATTAGTAAGGTATTAACAGAATTTAATTCTACTCATATGCTATTGATTATTCTATCTTTCTTGTTCTCAGAATGTTAAAAAAACGTAAATTATTTACAAAAGATATGATAATACCATACTTAAAAACATTTAATAACAATGCAGATATTTAAGCCGTTTGATTCCTTTTGACATCCCGTCCTCCTCCTGTTTATTCAAATTCTCTGTTTTTAAGTTTGCAAAATCTCTGTTTAGTCTGCTAAATGTAAAAACTCTTTAAAACAGGCAAAGGTATTTAAGTGATAATTTGATTGACTCAATATGAATTGACATGATAGAACTTTAACAATGAGTAATTGGTAGGTACAATTGATATCACACCTTCTTTTCTTTCTCTGTCACTCTCTCTCTATAGAGTAATTAGAGAATAAGTAAATTAATTAACAAAGATATTACAGTACCATACTTCAAAGACATTTGAAAACTGTACAGATATGTAAGCCATCTGAAAAGTGTTTTATTGAATAATTATTGGATAAGTGAACATAACATCAAAGATAGCAAATTTCCAATTTATCCTGCAACCACCCCTTGCATTGACCAATAAGGGTGACCCAATAAACCAAACCTATATTCAATCAATGCTGAAATATAGCCTTGTGGATTTTGACGTCTAAATGCATTGTAACTCATCGATATTGCATTATTTATGCCATAGCATTATAGTTTCAACTGCAGAAATGTGCCTAAATTTGTTAAAAAATATTTCATTTTGGAGGTCACATGAATAAAAAATTTGGCAAAAAATGTTTTTGCAGTAATCCAAAAAAGTGAGAAAATTTTTCTATGTCATTCAATTCCACAAAGTTTATTAAGAAAGTGAAATGCCCAGATTACCAGTATTGGAGTCCAGGTACAGGTATTAATTGCCATCTATAATTAATGCTTTGTGTATGCGTGTGTTGGTTTTTTGTTTTTTTTGTTTTTTGTTAGAGTGATGCTATCTTTTAATTTTCTGTACATACTTAATTATACCCTCAAGGATTGGTTTAATAATTGAATTTTATCTTAAGGATAAATAGCACAAACAAACTTTTTACAGAAATCAGCAATATTTCTCTAAGAATAACATTCAAATAGGTAACCTAGCTGAATGATATTTTCTGGGTAAAGTGGGAGAATTTTGTAAGATTTTGTCACAATGTCAAAAATATGTGCAAAATTTTGTATAGAATTACATAGAAAATGATACAAAGTTGCTTATCTAAGCACCAAAGAAAACTCATGATTTCTTTATATTTTAGGGATTGATTATTTATGTCATTTCCATTCAAAATCATGCAGTCAAAAAATATATATCAATCCATGCATTGAATTTTTGTTTGTGGTATGTAGTACTATGTACCCTTAATAAGTTATCTTATATGTATCACTTTAAAGCTAAGGTTGTATCCATTTAATCATGATGAAAATTGCCAAGAATGTGATTTAGATTTAGAAAAGATAATGCATACATCTACATAATCTATAAAACCTATCTTGTAGTTACTTCAAAAATGTCTTATTCTTTTACAGTTACCCTGAAGACATTTTGTTATTCAGCATTACATAGGTTGTCATTCCAAAAAACCTCTTTCTTTGACAAGAGAAATATTTCTCTTCAAATTTTCCCAGAAGAAAACTTGTCGACATTGGTATTTTTAAAAGTGGAAACTTCATATTTTATGTTATTCTTTGCAGTGTGAGAATGGGGGAATGTATTGTGAGAATTTGTTGATTGATACTTCGGGAATGCTGGGCAAGCTAGCAGTCAGATTAAGTGTTTTATTGCCTTGACCAGTACACATAACATGACCTATAAAGAACTTTTTTTTATCGATTACAATATCTAAAACGAATAAAAATGAAAATAATTTTTTTTTTTTAGATTTTGGATTTTTAAAAAACAACCTCTGTTGTATGCACCAACAAAGAAAATTATTTCTTTCAATAAAGTAGATTCTTCAGATAATTTAAGTGGAGCTGGCTGGTTCATTGTACTAACAAAATTTATTTTTGCAACCATGGCATCTAGAAATTGAGTAAACAAATCTTTGTTAACTATATGCTTTGACCATTAGAATCCTATAATGGGATTTTATGGTTCAGTGACTTTCTATCAATGTATATTGTGGTAGAAATGCTTTAACTATTAGAATATTATAATGGGGTTTTATGGTTCAGTGACTATTGTGGTAGAAATTCAATGGAATTTACCTGACTGTGGGAAAAGCCCTATAACCTTTACCAAGGTGTCAGATTATTATTTCAAGGTTATTTTCCTTCTTTGGTTACCAAGATTTCAATGGGATTTAGCTTTCAGTACATAATACCTTTTGAGGTAATGGATTTTTTTTTTTTTTTTTTTTGCTTTTGAACTTGAAATAAACTGTAATCAGTAAGTGTGATGGAAAAAGACCCCTTTTCCTCCAAATCTGATGGTTGATTAGTGAACCATGATCATGGCATATATCCATTCATGATGGAATTTTTTTTTTGTAGACTGAGGGGATTTTCCAGTAACCTTGAACTTTGAACCAGATTTTAGACTCTATTTTCATTTGCTGGTAAAAATAGAAATATGTCATGGAAATAACCCAATGTTAATCCTTGATATTCATACCTTCAATTGAAAAGTATATTTTTTCAGTATCCTAAGGATGAATTTTTTTATTTTGGATAATAGGGAAGTGTTTTATGATGGAAATACTAGTTTAAAATAAAGGTGAAGTAGGACCATTTTATAGACATTTTTTCCCTTATTTTCCCCAATGCTTTTGTGTCAGGTTTGATTTGATGTGAAACAATTGACCTGAATATAAGCAAATTTTGGTTCCCAGAGGGTGGTATAATGATAAAAGCAAGTAAAATATCAACAAAGGAATAATTTACAATATGATTTCTGTTAGTTTCATGTATATTAAAACAATAGTACATCTATATGAAAACAGGTGTGTAAAGTTTGTGTTAACTATGAGGGTTTTCATGTACACATTCATTAGTCAGGAACTTGGGTGAGCAATGTAGGGTACCCTTTCTTTGCATTTAGTATAGAACATTTAAGAATTTAAAACAATTTACAATTGTACATTAATTTTTTTTTATTTTTGCAAAACGTATGACTTTTAATTTTTTGTTTTTTTTTTGCTTTTCAGATGTAAAAAATAGCATGGCGTTCCAAGAGAAGGAATATGACAACTACTATGGAAGAGAGAAATTAACAAAAAGCTATGACAGTGATTATTCAAGGGACAGTCCTAACTATTCACCACGTACCTATGGCTATTCCAGGACAAAAGTAAACTCAGATCAGCGTGATTTTCGCAAAGTCAGACCTTTTGATGAATTAGATGAATCTGTGCAGGAATTTAATACAACAGAATATGATCAATCATTCAGAAGAACAAGAGGCAATCTGAACAGTAGAGGTAGAGGTGTGCTTAATTTTCAAGGTAGAGGACTTCCACACAAAATTTCTCTCCAAAACAGAAACAGAAATCCCTCTCCAATTAAAACATTTCTTGAGAGCCTGGAACAGTCTACGTCAGAATATTACCCAAAAAATATATTAAAAGACAATCGTCGGTCAGCAGAATTCCGTAACAACAGTCCCTTCCAGTATGACAATCAAAACAGGAAAAGACATTATACTTATGATGATGTTAACCCGTACCAGTCAAAGAAAACGAGAAGCAGTTCTGGATTGAGAACTCAAGATCGAGTAAGATACAGGTCTGGTTCAGGAGGTCAATCAAGTACGCATTCTCAGAGTCCTTTCCGAAATGACGGATATAAATCATATCAATATCAGAGAAATTCCAAGGAATTCTTACGAACACAATACTACAGATCAGGAAGTCCATCAAGTTTAAGTTCTAGGAGTTCATCTAGAAATGGTAGATACCGATCACGTAGTAGACAAAGATCTAGAGACAGACGTGACAGAACAAGAAGTCTGTCAAGTTCACGTTCACAAAGTTCATCAAGGAGACGTTACAGGTCAAGAAGTTTATCAAGTTCACGTTCACGAAGTTTTTCTAGAAATAGTGGATACAGATCATATAGTGGACAGGGGTCAAGTGACAGGAGAGACAGGCGCTACAAAACAAGAAGTCCATCTAGTTCACGAAGTTCATCAAGGAGTAGTGCATACAGGTCAAATAGTCGGCGAAGGTCAAGAGACAGAAAAAGAAGAGATTACAGATCAAGAACTCCATCAAGTTCACAAAGTCCATCAAGGAATAGAGCATACAGATCAAACAGTCGACAAAGATCAAGAGACAGGAGAGAAGATAGACGATACAAATCAAGAAGTCCATCAAGAAGGTATTTTAGTCCATTGAGATACAGATCACAAAGTCGTGAAAGAAGTTCCAGACGGAGGTCAGGTGACAGAGCTCATAGATCAAAAAGTCGATCACGAAGCTATTCACCTGCCAAATATAGTAATGCAAGATACAAGAGGAAAAGCAATGAAAGATCACCTTCCTCTAAAAATCAATCTCATGGACTTCAAAGGAGGGAATCAGAAAGAAGTTTAAGTAGTATGTCATCAACAGAGTCCTCATCAAGATCAGGGTCTTCATCAAGAAGTGTAAGTCCAAACTCAGAAAGAAGTAGAAGCAAGACACCTATTCGCAGAGAGAGAACAATTTCACCATCACAGAGAAATAAAAATGTAGGTGAAAAAAAGACATTCAAGCGTGGAAGATTTCTTGATCGAAAACCAAGCAGAAATGAGGCCTTTGTTAGGAGAGAGTATGAAAAATATGAGAAAGAAAAGGAAGAACAAATGCTGGCAAATGTTGATGATCTGTTAGGAAAACTTGTTGGAAATGTTGCAGAGCATAGTCAGTTGGAGCTAGGAAATGGAACAATCACTTCTAAAGAAATTGGAGAATCTTCTACATCTGAAATAACAAAGAGTCAAGCAGTGGAGAGTGAATACAGAACTATTCAAATTAAGCCAAAATCACCTACAAATACAAGTCTTCCCATATCTCGAGATGTCAATCAGCATCCATCATCTCTGCATGAAAATCTACGAATTTCTCTTCATTCAGATCAGGAGAGAAATGTAGTGTGTGAAAGAGACCTAGCAGAAAAAAAAGAACCATGTAGTGCTAAAAAGCGAAAACATTCTTTGGAAGGATTTGACAAAGAAAATCTGTCAGACTTTACTGGTGCAAAGAAAAGTAAAAAGATCTTGATTAATCTGAAAAACAGACAAAAGTTAGATGATGGAGGAGTCAACAAGAGGATGGATTCTACAGATAATTCCATTGAATTGGAGATGGGTAAAGGAAATGCAGCTCCAAATATGAACTGTCAATTAGGTTTACATCAAAGTAATAGTATTCAAGAGAAAGCAACACCAAACCTTGCAAGTGAAAACAGGGAATCACAAAAAATAAAAGTTCCGGAGGCTGAAACTAAAATCATACAGACACATGAGAGTGCAAATGAGATCATGCTGAATAAAGAAAATATGACTCAAGAAAAGGTAAAACAATCCATTGAGTTATCAATAAATATTTCAAAGCAACAATTACCTCCTTCTTTGTTGAAGAGCATTGCTTTGATTAAAGAACCTGAAAACAGAAGCACAGTAGAAACTGCTCCTACAGAACAAATGCCATCTCTTGGAATACAAGTTGAAAAAAATCCTCAGCTGAACTCTGATTCCTCAGACTTAGGATTGTTGTCATTTGATGAATTCACAGATTCTGATCAGGAATTAAGTTCTAAGGCTTCCAATAAAGAAGGAAATTCCAGCAATATTTCCAAGACAAACCAAGATGTGATTCAACCAAAATCTAATGAATTATCATCCAATGTTGAGACAATGAAAGCGATGGGCATGGAAAAGTCAGTGAATCAAAAATCAGATAATGCACTTAGTAACATAGCTGATTTTTATGATGAACTATCCAATGATTCAGTAGATGAAGCGGGAAAAAATTATGGTCAATCATCAGGACCTAATGATCAAGCAATGGTTAAAACATCTACACCAATCAAAAACATTGAGGTCTCTAATGGAAAAATAAAAGAGAGAGACAGCGAAGTTGTGAAACATAGCCTATTTACAACAAACTCTTCAGTGATTGATCACAATAAATCAAGTCGCAGTGAAATGCAGAATAGCCTGGATGCTTTGAATGAACCACAGATAATGAAGAGTGCTGAAGATCAAGAATCCGAGATAACTAACATATCATGTGTGGAGTTTCAGGAAAAGTCTTCTAAAGAAAAAAGCCTCAACTCTGCTATGGGAAGCTCAAAAACTTGTAAATCAGTTGTAGATTGTTCAGGTGGGAAGGAGTTTCAGGAGAAGTCTCCTAGAGAAAAAAGCTTCAACTCTGCTGTAGAAAGTTCACAAACTTGTACATCAGTTCTAGATTGTTCAGATGGTACCAATAGTGATCAGAAGAGGAGAGACACTAGTCAGAAAAAGGATAACAGTGCTACCAAAAGTGAGAAAAGTCTTAAATCCAAAACACCAGAGAATAAATCTTCCAAGGAACTCTCAGTGGATGTTACAGCAACAAAAGACAAAATCAGTGATAAACCTGATGAAAAAGGTAAAAAGATTTTACCTAACAAGACACGAACAGATAAATTTAAACCCAAGTTAAGTGAAGTACCACCTAAACTCAGTTCACACACAATAAAAGTGCAAAATACTAAAGATATTAAATCACCAGAATCTAAGAAAGAAAACAAGAGTGGGCATAATTCCTCAACAAATACTATCTGTGATGAAACTTTGCCAAAACTTGTGTCAAGGAAGGACAAGAAAAGAGATGCATCAACAACCTCTATTGAATCAAGTGACATGGAAAATTCCAAATCAAGACTGAAAGAAGGAGCAAAGAAGAAAGATAAAGAAAACCACAAAGAAACAGATCAAGAAGCACTGAAAGCCTGTACTAAAAACTTAACCGATACAAGTGATACTGAAAGAAAACAACTGGCACCCAAGGGAAATGATAAGAATTCTTCTAAATTTAACAACAAAGAAATACTGAAGAAATCAAGGAAACAAAATCAAAAATTACCGAAGATTAAACTGATTGATCAAGAAGACCTATTTCAACCAGATGCTCCACTGAAAAGATCTCATTCTGGTTTATTGAAATCAAAAGAAACGAAAAGTAAAGAACATGGAACCTCTTCATTCACAAAAGACAACAAAATGAAGTCATCTGCAATGATATCCTCAAAAACTACTACTAAAACAGCAAATAAACTGCTAAAAAATACTGCATCTGCTCTTACAAGTAAACCAAGCAAATCCCTAAATGCAGCAGATCAGTCAACAAAGGTATGTGATAAAGAATCCACTGATGACACAGAGAGCACTTCAGAAACAGACAAATCATCTCCATCAAAGAAAGCAGGACAGGAAGAAAATGGCTCTGAAAATAGAAAAACGGAAACCACAGAGAACAGTATCTCAAGAAGTCAAGTTGCAGATGGTAATGACAAAGAAAATGGAAGAAAAGTTGATGAAGTTCCTAAAATTTCCCCTCTTGGAGGAAAGAGGCAAAGTAGAACTTTGTCTGTGGAACAGCTCAAGGTTCTGGAGAAAAATAAGGAAGTAAGACAAAGAACTTGCATGGAATTAAAGCATGGGCACACAGGTGGAAGGAAAATGTTAAAATCAGAGAAGTTCCAAAAATTGAAACATCGAGTACATGCAGAGGCTCTTCATGGTAAAATTGTGAATAAACATGGAGTCTCAAAACTTAAATGTCAAAGTAGAGATGAAGGGAAAAGGAAAGTCTTGTCGAATTTATCAACCCAGAAAACCTCAAATGAATCGACTAAAACTCAAGAAATTAAAAAGCCATTGCCAAAAAGTAAACAAAGTGAAACAGATATTATTGCCAAAAGCATTTTGCAAAAAGTACCTGGTAGAATAGAAATTTATGACACAAATTTTGAAAAAGTGGCATATTCATCAAAGGAAACAACTAAAGAAGCTACCAGTAATGCCATTAGAAGAGAAACTGAAACAGATGAAATTCAGGTTTCTGATGGGAGCCTAAATCTGCAAGAGTATAGAAATGTTAATGAAGATGTAGAAGATGCAGATATTGCCTCTGATGATGAAAATCTTCAAATTGATCTAGAATCAAAATCGCCAGACAAGAGGAATGCTTCTAGCAACAGGGAGCAAAATCACCAAGAGAGAAACCAAGTAGATGGCAAAGAGAAGGCAACTAATATCCAAGACAAAACAGTGGAATTTTCTCAGGACTGTGCCAAGACAAGTAAACAAAACATAATAAAACCAACCATTAATGAAGAGGTGAGGAAAGATGTCACTGAAGAAACATCAAGAGGGCCTGCTAAGAACCTATTAGATATAGAATTGTTTTCTCCAGCAAACCCTTTGGGTACCATAACAGAAGATCAAATTGACTACAGTGACATACGGATAATGTACTACAATTGTGGTATACCCCAAAGCCCATATGTGGCTGAAGAAGACATTGGCAGTGCACCAACACCTGGTAAAATAAAACCTCAAAGAGAGATTATACCAAGCAGCAAACCAGGGACACCTAGTAAAAACAGCAGCCCAGGAACAGATCGGACTACCAAAAAGATTTTGAGTGAAGAGGACTTCCCAATGTTATCTATTCCTGATACAAACACGCTGCAAGGGCAAGAGAGTCAAAAAGACACAATCCCAAGCAGTAGACCAGAAACCCCCAATGTAAGTGGCAGTACAGGGACTGAACAAACTGCAAGGAAAATTCTACCAGAGGAGGAACTTCCAATGTTGTTCACAACAAACACAACTTCACTGCAGACAGAAAGTAATAGTGGAGCAACTAATGTTAGCAATTCCCAAGAAACAGAAGCATCATCAGATTACGGAACAGACAGTAACAGGGGAACTCCTTATTCAGATATATCTGAACCTTGTGATGAACCCGACAACATAAAAACTGATAAACCCTTTGTATCAAACCTACCAACAATTATGCCAGGCCATAGAAATTTAGGATTGAATGCAAATGAAAATTTTCAACATCATACAGATGCACAGCGAGTGCTCAGTTTTCTTTCAAAATTGAGGAGAGAGAATCTGGAGAACTTCAAACCTATTGGTTTTACCCACCGCAAGTCTTTTAAAAATATGCAGCTGCCAAATCCAAATGCCAGCTTGACTGTTGGTTTTCTGGAGCCAGAAAAATTCAAGGATCCAAAACTGCAGTGCATAAGGTGCAATTTGTGCAGTAAATATTTTGATCCCTGTGGATTCCTGCTGCACTATGATAGTGAGGTGATGAAACTTGATGAGAAGAAGTGTCTTCTGACTGAGCCCCAGCCTGCAGTGGGTGACATGGAGCCTCAGGTCAGGAAGATCTGGGATTACCTGATTACACTGAAGAATTTCTTGGTTGATGCAAAGATAAGTAGTCTAGGGTGAGTATCCATAAAAAGTTTTTTAAAAAATCAATTCTGGTAAACAACATACTGAACCTTTCAGTTTTAAATCACAAAGTATTTGAATTATAACATAATAAAATGGATTGATTTTTTAGTTTTGAAAAGTTTGACTAAGAATTAGAGTGAAAAATTTTTATTAACTTAAGCACTGTGTATTTTCCTAAGTCAGTTTAATACATAGAAGGTCACAGTATGAGGGATTAGCATTATCCAACTTCAACTTTATATAGAAACAACTTCCTGTCACAAAAATACTTGTATTCTTGATTTAGGATGTACATATTGTGAGTTGTACAGACAACTGAAATGCTGGTCAAGAGTAGACAAAAATTCTGTTACAGTACAAGGTCACTGTTCTTGACAAGGAATTTAATCCTTTTTTTCAGTTTTCATTATATAAGGGTATATAACCATTAATAAAAACAGTTGAGAGTTTTATCATCATAAATTTTATTTGTAAGAGTGCAACAGTTTTTATTGACGAAAATCTTAGAAGTCATTGAGTTGGGCCACATCAATACATTCAGTCAGCACATTGTATATTGTATGCAAATAATATGTATTAAGGCATTTAATGTATTTTGTTTATAATTTTTCAGTTTGCATATGGAAAAAAATACAAAGAAAGGAAATGGCGATGAGACACTTGGAACACAGGTAAATCTAATCAATTTGTATTTTATAATGCCCATACATCAAAGTGTGAGAATCTGATAAATTTGTGTTTTGTTATACCCAGATGAAGTTGGCAATATCTGTGTAATTTAAATAAGATATTATTCATTCATCTCTTTTCAGGAAGAAAATATGTTAGATATCCAAAGCAACAGGAGAAACTCATCAACTGATGAAAGAGGAAGGCATACTCTTGGAAATGAAAATGCACCAACTGCTAAAGTTTCATCATATGACATAATGGGGAAAAAATCGGTACAAAATACAAATGCTCCTAGGCAATTAGAACAGTTGTTGAGATATAGTCAATGTGAGGTAACTACAAATCAGTCAACAGTTACAACAGATTTACCAACCACAAGGATGCAAGCTTCTACTACTATTGGAGGATTTAACTCCTTAGAAGTTACTAATGTGGAATTTGTGCAACGGCAGAATGCTGCCAAGAGAACAGGTTATAATCATGTGACACAGGGTTCCACTGATTCTCTATCTACAGGAATGTCTCATCCATCATTAAGAGCCCAACAGGTTCAGAATATAATGCCACCTCCTGCTCAAATGCGAAACAGCTTCCTGCTTCCTAGCTGTACTCAAAGTGATCAAACCAGAAGGAGATCTCTGGAAAGTTTTCATCCAAATTCAAATAATGTGGCAGCTGAGATCCGGAACACAAGATCTGTCAGTGATGATTTGATGGCAGCTAAAAACTTCAAAAAAGACCTGCACCAGAGGTATCAAGAGCAACGAAATGCAGCATATTATCAGCAACCAAATTTAAACATTCAGACATCAATGACATTTTCTGGACCTCAGAATTCTTCTCAGTTTTTGATGAGGTCAATGGGATCACAAGAAACATTGAATCTGAATGAAAATCCATTAAACAGGACAACTCATCAAAATGTCAATTATCAAAACAACCCATCTGTAATACAAACATTGCACCAGCAAGTAGCAAATAGGCTAATGGCACAGAATGTCACACAGTCATCAGAGCTGCAAATAAACCAGCAAAGGGCATCTAGTTTACAGCAATCTGTGGAAAGTCATACAAGACACCAGATGAGACTTCCACCTCCACCCTATCAAGCAGCTTGTATGAATAAACATTCCACTGGGTCTCCTGCTCAGGTAGGACCAACCAATCATGACCAGTTCTTTATGACACATCCTCATCTTCAACAAATGGGAACTACCCAGATTCAACCTTCTGCAGTGCATCTTTCACAGCAACAAATGGGAACCAACCAATTTCAATCTTCTGCAGTCCATCTATCACAGCAACAGATTGGAACCAACCAAGTTCAAACTTTTGCAGTGCATTCTTCACAGCAACAAATGGGAACCAATCAGGTTCAACCTTCTACAATGCATCCTTCACAGCAACAGATGGGAACTAACCAAGTACAAGCTTCTACAGTGCCTCTTTCACATCAACAAATGGGAATCAACCAAGTTCAAACCTCTGCAATGCATCTTTCACAGCAACAAACGGGAATCAACCAAGTTCAACCATCTGGAATGCATCTTTCACAGCAACAAATGTACAATCAAGTGCCGCCATCTACTATATCCCCAGCTCATCAAAACATTACCACAGATAATCAGGTTCCATCAACTATGATTGCTTCAGCTCATCTGAACTTGTTAGCCAATCAAGTTATATCAGCCAGCAATCATTCCTCTCAGCAAAATATGGGCTTCTACCAGCATCAGCATCCAACCATGCAGACCTCTGTTACCAGTTCCACCACCACTCATTATTCAAAATCTACCCACCAACAGCAAATCAGTCATATTTCTCAAAGACAAAATAATGGCCAAGGAATGCATTCTGACAGAGCATTGACAGTTAGTAATCAACCAGTCAGTAATCATAATTGTAGATTAGACCAGTCTAGTTTCAGTGGTCAGATATATCAGTCAAAGCCAAGTCAAAATTCTAACACCCAGGGTGCTTCACCACAAATGAGCAGAAGTGAAAACAACCAGTTAACTAGTGGACAAGTTATATTAAGCAGAAGTGAAACCAACCAAACAACCAGTGGGCAAGCTAAGGTTAGTCCAGTCAGTGAAGCCAATCAATTATCTTCTAGACAAGTGGAGAAGATTAGCCCTGCCAGGGATGTGCAGAGCTTTCTTCAGAAAGCCAGTAAAAAGGTGTCCAGCTTCAATCCAGGTTGTGTGGATTCAGCAAGTGTTAATCCATCAAAGTCAGATTCTTCAATTGACAGCCAACAGCAAAGTTTGTTAGCACAGGAAAATGATGGAAAACAAAACCATCTTTCAAATGAGAATACTCCTGTTTCTGCAACCAATGCAATATCCAGCAAACAAGGAATGAACACCTGTTCCAATGAACCAAACAAAAGTAAAAGTCTCCTTGAATCTGCAGCAGAGTTAGCACAGAGGATTAATGGGCCTGCAGGTACATTCCCTGAGTAATATTATGTTGTGTGCAACCAGTTTGAAATAAATACATTTAGAAAATAACATCCATGTAATTTTTTTTTCAGAAGTACAAAAAAGAGTGGTAGGTTCCTGTGTGAATATGATGGCCTCTGTGATGTGGTTGTATGAACAATTTAAGGAAACAAGAGGTAAATGAATTTTCAAATGTATTACATGTGTCGTCAATTCTAATAGATTCACTGGTTGCAGCAATGACTTTTTGCATTTATTACAAATGGGTCTATCCTTCCGTAAGTCTGTAACACTTGGGGATACCCATCTCTTATCTGCAACTCCTCTTACACCAGTGGATGAAATTTAATGAGACTTTCACAGAATCTATATTTTATAGTGCCATTGTGCACCTCTTATTGTTTTTTTTGATCAGACAGATAAATAGAGGTTTCCCATAGCAAAACGGAGACACTGCAACTTTTTCTGTGATGTGGGATACCCATCTCTTATCCCCAGTTCCTTCTATACCACTGATTAAAATTTAATGACACTTTCACAGAATCTTTATTAAATAATGCCATTATGCACCTCTTATTTTATGTTTTGAGTTCTCATGATCGCACAGATATTTGAAGTTTCCCACAGCAAAACATGGACTTCCCAGTTACATGTATATGGGAGCGGGGGTATTATTTTATTTTTTGAGCCTTGTGCTCACAGTATCGCTAGTTTTTATTTTACTTCTCGCTGTTTTATATTTTTTTGTGCACAGTATATATGTTATATTTTGCAGCTGAAGTGACGACAGCAAAGCAGGAACTGCAGCACTGTAAGGGAGAAATAACAAAGGCAGTGAATGAATATCATGCTACAGAGGGTATGCTTAGTGATGTGGAACTCTTGAGTTTATTCAAATATGTGTATTTTGGTGTGAATTAACTAATGTTGAGCATTGTTTAATATCATAGAGTTGATGACACAGAAGATAAATGAAGTTTTAGCCAAGATGCCGAAGTAAAAGAACTGTTTGCCATCAGATAAATGATCTGAAGCAACACAGGAAAAGAAGACAGAAAATACCTAGTGCAGAATTTTTTCCTCCATGAATTATGGTGAAAAATTGGAGAAAAAAATCCCAAACAGATAAATAGGACAAAGGATGAAAAGCTATGGAAAGAGAAGGACTTTTTTCAGCCCTTTTTGCAGCCACAAGCTTATTAGTTTGTAGAATAATGGATATTCCCATGTGACAGTATCATGAACAGTACTGTTTGTAAAGAATTTATCTTAGTAGGAATACCAGCATGGGCTTTGAAAAATTGTAGAAAAATAAATACTGTATACAGGAAAATTTTTGCCGCTGTTTTATTGTCCCCTTTGTTGCAGGTGGGCAGATTTGGGGGAAAAAAACAACTAAAAAAAACAGCACCATCTCTCAAACACAACTGTGTCTGCGCAAATTTAAAATAAGGCAAAATTGAAAGTGTGAAATGGCAAAAATAAAATAGGGTGAAAGATAACCTTGTATACAGTATTTACATGTGAAATTGTTATGAAAGTTACTATATGTACATGATGTAGTTTAGTTGAAACGGCAGCATATTAACCTATGTTGAATGGTGCATTCTTGTAAATTAGTTTAGTCTCAGGATGTATATACTTGTAATCAACTGTATGTTTCTCTCTTGTTTTAAATTCAAACTTTCTACTGCCATGTTTGATATTTTTGGCATACTGTTAGTTTGGATTTTAAGATGAAAAAACTTCAGCCTTGCTTTAAATATCACAAAAGACAAAGAAATTCTTTTGTAAATAAGATATGTGTGTGTTTTTAATAGCTAGATATGCTACACCATTGCTTTTTTTGTCATTGATTTTTGTATAATTACCTCTTGATTATTCTCCGTCCCATGTCTTTTTAGGTTTGAATCTGAAGTAGACTGTTACCACTCAATCAGTGTGTTCATAGAAAAATACTGGAAACAAAATATGCATTGTTTTATGCAATTTGCATTATCAGCCAATACCAGATGTGTTCAGCTAATTTTCTTATCAGCAGTTACGGGTATATATCTAACATTATACATTAAAAGACAATCTCAGATGTAATAGACTCCGTGTTCTCAAGTGTTTATATGAGAGGAGGTTATAACCTTCACATACTTTGAAACCAGTTTAGTGCTATTTCTATCTTTCTGTATGGCTTATACCTGCGTACATGAACAATGATTAGCATAATAATTATTTAAATTCAAAACAAATATTATATATATTTGTTATATAGCAGAGGTTCACTTTGTAACAATTGGTTAAATTGGTTATGTCAATTTTTGCTAATGAATTGTAAAGTGATTTTTTTTTTTTTTGGTGAAAACAATGTTAAGGTATACATCAAAACATGATTTTTTTTTTTTTTATAATTTTCAGAAAACTTGAGATTGAATTTCTAAAGTAGAGAGTACACCAGAAGTTACATTTTATTTGTGGATTTGAATGGGATATTGTTTCTGTTTGTTGTCGAGCTTAAAACCTGTATCATCCTTTATTTTTGAAAAAATATAACCGAGTGAAATATATGGTACTGGCATTGTGATTATCTGATCTGTTCTTTACATTTTGAATCCATGTTGTGAAATATTAAGGGAGATACTACAAATTTTTGAGCACTATGAACACATTAAATATATTTTGTTTATTTAATCTTGTCTGAGAATTTAAAATATGCTGTATAATAAGGCACTAAAGAGTGTGCCATGTATGATTTTAATTGAAATGTGTATTTGGAGAGTACTTTTAGCAAAAATGTTGTTGTCATTGTTGAAAATCTAAGAAATCCATAAAAAGTGTTTTTTAAGCTCTTTTACACTTTTATACTGCTGGAATAAATCAATTTACCCATGATACTTTTCTTTTTTTCTGAGTTTAAGGACTAATATTGTTTTAAGGTTCATCAATCCTCTATTTTCACGCATATAAAATTTTAGTTTCATACTATTAATTTTTCCAAAAGAAATCTCATTAAAAAAAAATCAGCATGTTGTGCAGAAAAAACTTTGACAGAAATTGCCTTTTGTCAATTTTATAATGAAATTATATTGGTCATTTATCCTAGAGAGAGTTGTCGGAGGGTCAGTGGACCTTAATTTAAAAAAAAGAAAGAAAAGAAAAGCAGTTTTTTAAAACACTTTAGTTGACACGAGATACATAATTGTGAAGAAGTGTAGGAGTTCTACTCTACGTAAATAGAGAGATCTTATTCAAGGTGCTCACCTCGCTCTTTGTCATCTTGTGACCAAATACATGCATATTTTTTGAATGAAGGTATTTTAGTGTAGGTAAATGTACGGTTGACACACACTTCCATCGCATTTTAAGAGGTGAGATGTTAGATGTCTATGCCCCCCCCCCCCCCCCAATGAACAGGATGCAAACAATATGGTATTGGATGGGGGTAAAACGAGATTTTGACAAGAAAGACAGCTGATGGAAACGGTTTTATACAATCTAATAAGTGATACCCCATTTACTAGAACATGTACTAAGAATCATAACCCTTTGTGGACTTTGGTTACGTTTTAATGCAGTTGAATCAATGTTAGAGTGGTCACTGTGTCATTTGTTGAAACGCTTCCTCTTATTGTACTGAGTATTTGAGGATCCAGTACAGGTACCTATGTGCCAGATTGATACATTACATAATTTTTAGGTCGTCTGAGTCACTAGGTCACCTATTACCATCTGTTTTTGTCCGTCGTCGTGCGGCATCCAGCGTGGGTTGTCATTTGATCATTTTCTGCTTCTCTGGAACTGCTGAACCAATTTCAACCTTTTATGGTATATAACATCAATGGGTGAAGGGATACAATAATTGTAGATTTTATGGGCCCGCCTCCCCTGGGACCTGAGGGATGGGTGAAAACCATCATAATTTAAAACTTTCTTTACTCCTGGACATCACATAGTCAAACTGCTGGCATGATTGTAATAAGCATTGAGTCCTCCACCAAAATTGTTAATTTCATGGCCCCGGGGTCAGGGGTTCTGGAGTAAGGGCGGGGCTCAAATGATCACATAGTGAAAATACATAAATTCTTTAAAAATCTTCTCTCCCCCCCCCCCCTCTATATTTAGCAGATAAACTATGTGCATGATTAAGAGCAAGGATACCTCTTTCTAAATTGTCAAAGGACAAGGTATGGTAACGCCGAATCTGGCCCTTAAGTTGATGTAAAATCAACACAATTAAATTGTGATAGTTTGTTGTTAAGAACTTAAAATGATGCTTGTTTTAAAACCAGCACTAATTTTGATTCAAAGCTTAAACGGAGGCCACAAAAGGGTGCAGAAGTAGGACATTTTCCCGGATTTCTTCAATTGTTGTGGAATTTCGTCAAATTTGAGGTAATTTTCACTCAGAGAAACATAGAGCACAAGCTTGCCTCTGAGATTTTTATACTCAAGATGAATCTGATACTAGTTTATGAAATATATGAATTTTGTAGATAGGTAAGTTTGTGCTCTATGTTTTCTGAAACAAAACGTGCTGTAAAATCGAGGAAAATTTACATAAAAATGAGAAAATTCGGAAATTGACATATTTTCTGTCATTCCTGTAACCTCTGTGTATCCCATAACTTAGAATCAATACTCATTTTGTGACAGGTTTGACAACAGGTTTTTATTGAAAAACTGTTACATCATTCTAAAAGACACATCAAACCAGGGGCCAAAAAGCGGTCTTAGCCTATCTTGTCCTTTGACCCAGGTCAGGAGTTCTGGTGTTGGGGGGCTATTGATTTATAATGAAAATGCATTAGTTCTGTGAAAATCACTGCTCCTGCATATTAAGCAAACAAAGTAAGCACATAGTTATAATGAGCAAGGGTGCCTCTTCCAAAATTGTGAATTCAATGGACCCTATGTCAAACTTTCTGGTGATAGGGCAGGGCTCTATTGATTATACAGTGAACATGCATTAATTCTTTGAAAAATTCTGCTGCTGCGTACTAAGCAGATAAACTAATACATAGTTATGGTGAGCAAGATTCCTTCTTCCAAAATTGTGTTCTTTATGGCCCGATGGTCTTGGATGGTGTTAGAGCAGGTCTCTAAAGATCAGATATTGAAAATGCATAAATTCTTTAAATATTTTTCTCTGCTCCTGGACAAACTAATTGCATGGTTATCATGAGCAAAGGTGCCTCTTGCAAAATTATGAGATGAATAGCCCCGGGTCAGGAGTGTTGGTGTTAGGGCTCTCCTCTGTTGAATACATCATGAAAATACATTATTTCTTTGAAAATCTTCTCTGTTCCTGGTTATTTAGCAAACATAGTGCATGGTAATGATGAGCAAGTGTGCCTTCTCTAAAATTGTGAATTTCATGGCCTCTGGGTAAAGGGGGTTCTGGTGTTAGGGCAGAGCTGTGTTGAATCTATAGTAAAACGCATTAATTCTTTGAAAATCCTCTTATCAGTGGACCGAATAAGAGAAATCATTGCTGCATGCCATATGCACTCGTTAATCACGGGATCTGAAACTGTTGTGATAGAGTGACCAGTTGTGTCCATCAATTATAATTTTTAATCAAAAGAAGTCCCAGAGGGAGAGATAGTAGATAAGTTGCAGGTGCGCGGCGCTGGCGCTGTAGCACTTTTCCCAGAGTGTCGTGTGAGTTGGTTAGAGAGAAAGAGAGTGAGCGAGAAAGAGTCTATAATTTGTTAGTTTGTCATTTCTGCTGTCGTTTGTTTATTGTGGATGATAGAGTTCTCAGAGATGAAAGTGAGCATTAGATTGATTTGTGTGAAAAACTAGGGAGTAAGAGATTTGGTATGGCCATGCCCTGAGACGATGTGAGAAAAAGAAGTTAGAGTGAGTTTGACTGTGAATGTATGCAGACATAACGTTTTGTGAAGTATTATATATTATATGTACTGCTGTAAATATGTAAATAAACTTGTAAGTACATAAAGTGCGTGATTATTACCAGTGACCAAAAGACGGGAAGGACCCCTGTCACAATGTCATAAAACCAAGCCATGGTTCTGTGACAGTTTCACATCCCTTGATTACATGTAACATGTAACCGTTTTGAATTCCCCTTACTTGTATTTACAAAATTGAGATATGCCACACCATTACTATAGGGTCTTACACTCTAACTAAACTAAAGTAAGTCGAGCTGGTGTAGTATTACTATAATATGTCATTTAACAACAGAGGAAGAGATTCTAATTTAAGGTAGTCTGATCCCCAGGTTCTGAAAATCATCAGTTACGTAATTGAAAATGCTTTAATTACAAAAATTGTCTCTGAATTCACAGTGTGTATTTATCCATGGTACACGTATTTCTACAAAGTTCATCGTTAAAGTTAATCAAATAATAAAGGGAAATTATCAGATCTCTGACATATTTTCAGGGAATGCGAATAAAAGCACCAGCTATGCATTTTCTGATTGAAAATTGATCAACAAACATATTTTAGGATCAAATAGTATAGGTATCCAGGCATTCGGAGAAAATTGCATTTTTTAAAATACATTTATACGGTAATTTAGTTCTTCTATCTACTTAAATTGTCATATAATACAAAGTGTTAAAACTTAGTTTTTTCATTGCAAGACAACACAAATCACTTGTAATTTCATCTCATGCTAAACTTTGTTGTTGGTGATTAAGGATGCATTATGACCTTGACTCGTGTGACATTTAAAGGTGTATAAGAATAATAATACGAAGTTTATTTAATAAGTATTGGACTGTCTTTAAAAATATTTTCAATCCCTGCATTGCATTGGATATTTATTTTTCATAATTCAAGGACATGTATGTCGTCAAGTTCATACAGTGATGGCCAGTAAAGAAGAAGAAGGAAGCTTAATTAAAGAGCATAGTATTTGACACTAATTTGATATTTTTTTTTTTTTCGTTATAAGCAAACTACATCTTTATAGAGTCTGATAAGAAGTCTGTGAATTAACTTTTAGGAGAGAAATATTTGTGACTGATTTGCTCTTGCAAATTTTTGTAGCCACCAAATAGTGTCATCATTAACTTCTAAAATCAAATAAAAAAAGTTCAATTTTTCAAAACTTATTGGTTTTTTATTGGTTTGAGATAAAAAGAAATTTGTATATTCTCTGAGATAAATTTTACGTACTCTTTGAAGGTTATACTTATAAAAATATTTGGGTTGATATATTTCTCGAAATTTAGGATAAAATTGCTCCAAAAGCGCATTATTTTTAAAACGGAGACATTTCACCGGACACCTAGAAAGGATTTAAGTACATTTTGTAGATTCCGAACTTGAAGCCATCATTTACCAATTGAAAGCGGACGCTGGCTTAATATACCAAGACAAGGCAGAATTTGTTCCCATTGTAATCTAAAAGAAATCGGAGATGACTTTCATTATATACTAATGTACAGTTCACTAAAAAAAGAAAGAATGCTATGTTTAACAGAAAAACACATAAGATTTAAGAATATAATAAGTTTTAAAAACATCATGAATAGTAATAAACACTGTTTTCTGAGAAAAAATATGTTCGTTTATAAAGAAAATAAATAAAATATGCTCCCCGGCCTAGAATTCCCGTACTCCACATCTATAGCAACGTACTAATTTTTGTTCATGCTATTGCTATGTATTAAATCACCCATATGTTGTAAGTCTCTATATATACATGTAGCTATACACTATTGTAAAATGGTGAAGAGATTCAAATAAATGATTGATTGACCTGCTTCATACATATAACACTGGTTTACATTGTGTTCTTTCATACATGTTCATTATAAGTGTGACATGAAAAGTTATTAATCGTACTGGATTTACATGTATACATTCAGTCTAACAAGATCTAAAGAAACGGACACCATGGTCTTGGCCATTTC